TACATAGTGTATCGTACACTCTGCTCAAAATTATCTGTGAATCTCTTCCTTCAAAAAACTTGCGTGCTATTGCATTCGACAATATCAACTTTGATTGTTTTAGAGTAGATGGTATAATTCCAGGATTGAGCTCATGTGTTAATCTGATCTGCTTAAAGTTTTGTTTGTGCACAGCATTAGAACAGCCATGTTGGTTCGAAACGGCTAAATTACTTCAAAAAATTGGAATCTCTCTCAATACAAGGTCCAATGGATAATCTGTTAGAGGAATTTATCAAAGCTAGTGGCACTCTCCAATATCTTCGTATAGAAGGAGATAAGCGTGGACGCATTGACAGGATATTTCCTGCAATTACGCTTAATTCTCGCAATCTCCGTGCGATCAATTTGCGTAATTTTGATATAAAAAGTCTGCCTATCTTAATGCAATTAAATCCGAATCTTTATCATCTGGAGGTATATACCAAAAATTTAGATGATACATTTTTTAATATGCTGGCAAGAGAGCTTTTACCTACAATTAAATCTCTCAGACTGGTCCTTCAAAAAGGTGATACGTTAGAAATGTCGGAAGAGTCATTTATTCACTTTTTGGAGGTTACCCATCAAAACTTGAAATATCTTTCTCTTCATCCGCTTGCTTTCAAAAAATCTCATAGGAAGTTGATCATGAGTTATGGCATCAAACTAGCAGCGTCATGGAATCATAGTATGTAATTATTTATTGTTGCCCTACTTTCGCTTTTATATTCAATCTAATTTAATATCTATTCATAGTAATGTATCCAGATTATTTTATGTAAGATATTATGAGTTTGATTATTCTTATGCTAAAACCGCGAAATAACGAGCATGGACGTTATTTCGAAAATCACATCCTCTAAAATAGCATACATAGTCTCGAAATGATGCCCATGGGCGCACCCCCTATATAAATTCGATCTAGAACTCTTTTTTTTATTTTCATCATTCTTGAACCCGATTCCGGTCGATTTTGTAATATAAATTAGCATGACGTTTCTGTATATTATAACTCGTTTGTGATCATGTTCACTTGTAAATAAGGCACACGAAACAAACAAAAAAATAAAGCTCACATTTTTTGTTATGGATGTTCGTCGTGTAATACAAAGTAAATAGAAAAATGAAAAGTATATTTTATGATTTTTATGTACAACGCACATGAGCGTTATCTCAAAAATCAGGTTTAACAGAAAATCGACTTTTGTCTCGAAATAACGCACATGAGCATACTCGAAATAACGCGCAGGTGTGTGTTATTTCGCGGCTTTAGGTATTTCGCTCCTGCAAATTCAACTTGTTTAATCTTTAATAAAAATTTTCAGTCTGTTAACATGCAAATATTGTTTCAAGTTTATTAAAGTTATGCTTTTCAAGAAAAACAAAAAACTTTTATTTTGGTTTTCGGCCGTGCAAACAAATATCTTTGATTCTAAACTGTTTACTTCTTCTACTAGTAACATTCTGTGATTATATTTTTTACTGTTGTATTCTTTTTCAATTCGAAAAATACATGCAGTCGTTTTCTTTGACCTTGGATGTGGAATTAGAAAAAGGTTTTTGAAAGCGCATCAAAACTTATGCGAGTGATTAAATCGATTGGATGAATAATACTTATGGTTTCTTTTCAGTAAATAGAATTAGGACGTTAGGTGTTTACACATATGACCAGCGGGTCTCAAAAATCTCAACTTCCATGTGACTTACACATGATCAAAAATAATTAACCAATCAGCATATAATATTAAATTTTTGGGGGAGGGAGGAAGGGAGCCAGCCTTATAATAACTGGATATTACGTAATATGTGTAAGCCCTCTCACTTAATATTCTGGAAGGGTATCGATGATACATGTATTGTTAAATATATGGTCACATGTTTTGAATGTAACAAAAATATTGTCCTTAGGCAACAAAAATTTAAATTGATCAAAGTAAAATATAAATACGTAATAACAAATATTTGTTATTTAATATGCTTTCCATTTTATGAAAATTTATGATATATTATATAAAAAGGCTTTGTTACAATAGTTAAAATACAAAATGTTTAATCATAACTACATATAGTACATGTAAATAATTAAGATGGAGGATATGGAGGACATTGAACCGGTGGGCTATTAGGGTTAACAATACCTACAAATGGAACTGTTCTAAAGAAACATGACTCGCCAGGAACTGAAGTTATAGCTGTGACATTATAATAATAAGTTCCGGTAGGAAGACCATCAATCTTCAAGTTGAAATATGGCGTAGCGATTTGTGTGCTAGCATCTACGTTTCCAGTGAATTCATTTTCAACAAAAGTGCTATCAGCCTCTTTAAATAAATCAACCTTAGTCACGAATGTAACGCTGCTTGCGCCTTTATCGAAAGAAACTTGATAGCATTGGCCTAAACAGTGTATTAAATAAATAGAATATTAATATATTTTCGACCAACAGTATATTGACCAGACAGCCTATATAGAAATTAAAATAATCATAAATTTACGTAGAGAAAATTTATATCACCTTCAGTATAATTGTAATATGCTATAACGGGTGAAGTAATACGGAATCCATTGCAACTTGGAGGATTTGGAGGCGCTTGGCGTTTATCGAGGGGTACGGCAAATACAAAAGAAGCAAGCAAAAGCACAATTATCAAAGAGCTCTTCATTTTGGAAATTATATATCAAAAAGTTTTATTTGATTATATGATTTACTGAAGGAAATTATTGCTAATTCGCTTGCTTTGAGAAAGGTCAAGTACCCATCGCTTTTATAACAAAAATTCGCAAATTCGGTAATTTTGGAAATAGCACGAACAATCGAAAAATTTTTAAACGAGCACCACTTTTTCTTTAGTTTCTATTCTATGCAGCGATGAATTATTCCTTATTGAACCGCACATCTAACCAAACGACTTTCTTTTAATGTAATAAAATGAGACAAATTTGTTTTTGATATTTTTTACCGTGGGATAAAAAAAAATAATTTCCAATATACTTTTTATGAGCAAACTTTTTCTGTTGGTATAGCTTTTTTTAGTAAATATACATTCTATTTATAAGTCATCATGAAACTAACTACATTAATTTGGTATCGCGTACTTTCGAAGTAAAATACGTAATTAACTTTTATAGGTTTTAATTTGGATACGTAGTAAAATACGTAATTAACTTAATTTGGATACGTAGCACACATTTCGACAATTAAAGGTTCCTGAACGTATTTTTAAAACAGCTCTCATAATAACATGAAATACTAGAACGTGCTACATAACCATACAAATCATCCGGTTTTTGCATGTATATTCTAACTGAAATCAGTAATAAATTATCCTTAACATGAGCATGTTATAACAATTTTTCTAACGTGTAATCTCGAAAACATAAAGTTAGAATTTTTTTATTATTAAACTCCAATCAAAGTTCTTCTAATTTAAAATACCTCTGTGTCATACTGCATTAATAAAACAATGTGCTAGGGAGAATGAATAATTTAATCCTTTTATTTTGACAAAGGCAATTCCCTCTTTAGATGATCGCAAACTAGGACAAACCAAATGTAAACATTGCGAAAATGCCTTTGAATCAGCAGGAACAATATGAGAATTCACAGTCTGTTCATTTGTGACAGGGTTCTATGAGCAATTCTTGTATGTGCTATTGATGCAACATCTAAATAAAATTATTGGAAATACTTATAATTAAAGAACTTTACATAATTGATTTTGTGTAGATTGTTCTAGATAGAAATGCATGTAATTAATTATTACGCTATTAATCTACCAATACGAACTATAATAGTGCAAGATTTCTTTTTTTTATTTTTAGAAATGTGTAATGGTCAGTACGTGTACAAAGAGGAGGAAATACATGTACCATGTATTTTAAATGATGCTTATCGTTATCGTTATCGATATATAATTGTATATACATGTATTAGTCAATTTCTGTTGTAAATGACAAAATCTTCTATTTTACGCACTAGACGGCGGTGACGTTAAATACAATAAACAATTAGCGCTATCGCCCCCATTCATTTGGTTCTTCCGACGCGTTTTCAATAGAACGTTTATTATTCATTTTATATAATCTTTGAATTTAGACATATAATTTCGTCGTCATTAAGAAGCAAATGAAAATTAGAACCATTACTGTCAGATTTACCTTAACGTTTCATTTTCAAATGCTCAACACTTCCGAGAATTATTACCGATTTTAATGTCTTAGATCGATTTACATGGACGCTCATGCAATGTTTCAGTAATCTTTGACAACACAAGACTAAAGAATTTATCATTGTTGACACGCATTTTGATTATTTTTTTTACCCTTTTATTAAGCACATAACAAAGAAATACGCATTTTTGAATTTGCTAATGTGGAATATTCGTTTTATAACCACGTACATGTAAAAGTTTTATTGTCGTTATTACTTATATTTACACCTATTTTTTGTCTCGTTATGTTTTAGCTAATGGTAAAAAATATTTTTTATATACATAAAAAAGAAATAAAATAAATCTGAAATTTCATTTTTAAAAATATCTGGCGTTACTTTTTGCGGCGACTGTACATGTACATGTATAACGATTGTATGATGAAAAAGCGAAAATTATTGAGTTCCGTGATTACGAAATTCTGATGTATTTTTACATACCTCTAACGTTATTCTAAGATTCCTATGTGATACAGAAAAAACCGGTATTTCTTTTTTACTGTATTTTCGCGAAAACAACGTTATTTCGAAAATCGTACCCTTTAAAAATAGTATACATGGTTTCAAAATAACGTTCATGAACGCCCCGAAATAACGCGAACCCATATAACGTATCAGCAGATTTACAAGTTGCATTTTTTAATATCGAAAGTGTATCGATATACAAGTATAGTGCGGGACAAGTGATATTTTTAAAAATAATTCTAACTAAAATCTTCCTCTATGTCATAGATATTGGGCTAAAAACTTCATTCAATCAAAAGTTTAAGGGCAAGACGAGATTAAAGCTCAGAAAAACTGCCAATTGTAGCTAACCTTTATTACAAAATTAATATCAATTTCATAATTCATATCGAAATTTATAAAGATTTCATAATTAGGTTTTCATCTTGGAAGTTCATAAACGTAAGTGAAATGTCTTGCTAAATTTATTTTTTATATCTAATCAATTCATTATTTTTTCTCAACTGGTGCAATATAGACTTTTGGCATGGTACACGAAATCAATAAATCTCGATTATTCTATAACTTCATGATCAAACAATACAAAAAGAAGAAACGTTGAAGAACAAAATTATTTTTAGATTAACAAATTAAAATGTTCATATTGTCTGAAAATAACGAAAAATGATTCATTTTTTATCAAAATTATTTTTTTAACCATACTATTTTTATACATTTTAGAACGCTTGGTCATTTGGCCATAATAGCTGAAGTCAAAACTGGCTTAGAGCATATGTAAATAAAAACAAACGGTATTTTTATTTTTGTTTCTTCCAAAATCCCGAACGCCTAAAATCCCAAGATTTCCTAACCTAAATATATTCATTAATCAAATTTTCATATCACACAACTCGTAACTAAAGTCAGATTCAGACACACAGCTTAACACATTTTCACTAATATTTATTTAAAAATACTTTTCATATTTTTTTATTAAAATAAATTTAAATATTACAAATAGCATTACTATAAATTATAATTACAATTACATTGTTCTAGTTATTTTTATATAACCCTCCTATGGTGATTGCATAATGTTTAATTAATCTATCTAAATGCAAGTCAAAAGTTTTAATTTCATGTTTATAAAAAAATGCACGATGAATTCAGTGCAATGAATGTTTTTTAAGCAATTAATGCTTTTAATAATGTCTTTGAATTAAAGTTTTTAATAAATTAAATGTTCTTTGATTTTGTTGAAACTTGCATGTTTGCATGGCATGTATGATATATGTGATCCTTTGAATTTTTGTTGACTTGCATGCTTGCATGATATGTATGATGAATGTAATCCTTTGATTTTGTTGACTGGCATATGTATGGTGTATGTGATCCTTTAATTGTGTTGACTTGCATATTTGCATGGCTTGTATAATGTATGTGATTTTTGAACATGGTGTGTATGATTATTTGATCCTTTGAGTTTGTTGATTTGCAATCACCATCTAATAAATCCTTCTTTCCACACAAATCTCCAATCCCATTCCTCCTTTCCATCCAATTCTCCAATAATCCTTCTCCCACCTAACCGTCTGGTTAGAAACACCCAAGCCCCACCAAATGACAATTTGTTTGTTCATTCAATGAGGCTGGAGTCAGATACTGCCCCTACACGTCGCAGTACTGCATCGGTTACCCCACTCCAATCTCTCCGGCCCTTCAACAAAGCACTGTCACTTCTCCAGGCACCCCTCACAATACCTACCTGCCGTGATGAGAGGTAGTAAATGCCCCACTCTCGCATTTACCCGTGAGTTACTTTCCGACTTCTCTGACCCTTTTAGGGCACATACATCCCCGCCGGGCACCCTGTCGCTAAAGCAGAGGGTTGGTCAATCACGCATCTCTCCCATGAAGTCCATCCCATGTTTCCATGTTTACCTCCCTTATAGAAGGTAGTGAATGCCCCACTCATCGCATTCACCCGTGATTGCATCCATTTTTATCTTTCTCCGGCCTTTTAGGCACCTTCTCATCGAGGGTGGTGAATGCCACTCATCGCATTCACCCGTGATTGCATCCATATTTTTATCATAAATTAGCAGAAAGTTTATTAACGCATTTTCGTTTATGCGAATAATAGACATACACTTGAAAATGAAGTTCAGAAGAATACACACCCCCACAATATATTACCGGAAATTTCAAAAATAAAACTATCATTTTGGAACCCAATTTCTTGTAATCTAGTGATCTCATTTAAATAAAGATATTATCATAAGATTCGTGGAGTCGCGACAAATTTAATGGAGTATTTTCATTTAAATTGGATCATTGAATTTTGAGATATTGGATTTCAAAGTGGCAGATTCGTTTTTAGGATTTCCGGTAATATATTGTAGGGGTGTGTATCATTTTTTTCCTAGGGTCCTTTGCTTTTTTGCTTCATATATACAAATGGCAGATGACAAACTTGTTGGTGCCAATAACTCACTATATTCTTGCAATAACCAAAAGTTTGCTTTGTGTGTGTGTCTGTGTTTGCTTGCATACTAACTGCTGCCTTGATTCTCCCAGTTAATCGCAATTTAACGTTCGCTTCGTGAAAATGACGAGCAAATAAGGAAAGATCGTCTATTTAAAAATTATCTTTCTCTGAAAGACAACAAAAAAGAAGAAAAAAGAAATATTCTGGACAAAATTCCTTATATGATGTCGTGAGATTTTCCTAAAATCAAGTGACATCAACGATCGATCTAAACAATACACAAATCAAAGTGACATCGATATATCGATCTACACTTGCATTTGATGCAATACACGTAATTGTAACTATTATTATCGTTGCTTTATATGTAAGTTGACCCAAAACCTCCTTTGCAAGATATTCAATGTTGTAAAAGATTCGAATAATTCATTATCTTTATTAAATTTGTTGCATTCTTTTTATTAAATTGTCGATACCTTTATCTCCGCTAGACTATTCATCGTTATAAATTTGCTTGTGAT